ATTTCGGTAATTTCTAAGTTCAGGTGATTTGATAATCAACGGTACATTTTCCGGGCACCGTAATCTATCATTGAGCCCTCCCAACCCTACTTATGGCGCAGATTCCTAAACTATTAAGAGACCGTCAATGTTACACATATATTAAAACTGGTGAGGGATTATATCCATCACAATTGAATCCAACATAAATAAATTTAATTTGCGATTGATCACAGGAGAGAGGGATTCATTTTGGATCGGGCACTGTCCCTGCTGTAATGAAGATTAGGTGGAACTTAACACGATCAAGAAAATTTAAACAAGACTTTCATTTTGTCAAAATTGCTTATATCTCAAAAATCAGCATAAGTAACCACCTTTAGTACTTTAAAAAAAGTTTTTGTTGAGAAATTTTACTGTATAAACTATTCCTTTCTAATTCCTAAACTTGTTCATAACCCAACATAAACAAGCTTTAAAGAATTTTTGTCACACCATGAACATGGCACATATTCAAGTAATGCAAAATTCTTTAGAACTATTACTATAAAGACTAATATTCGTATTTAAGTTGGAATTAACAAGATGTTGAATCGTTTGGGAAATTTTGACATATAAACAACTTTGACAAAACGAATGGTTGCTTTAAATCTTTATGTTCATGTCACGTTATATATGATCCTAAAAATTCATTTGTCCTTTGGGATCTGTGCCACCATACTTCGCATGCCTAATAGTGCGACAACCTATATATTTAATTAATGCAATATCGATACTCCTTACGTCTCCCGTTCCTGGTTTCGCGTGACATCGTCGCGCAGCTATCTTATTGCATAAGTAATACGTATTAATTTATTTAAATTTTTACATCAATAAAATTAATATATAACTAAACGCTTCTAAAAGAAGATAGATTTCAAGCTTAGAATTGTTAAGGCTAAGTTGATTTAATTATAAGTTCGAAGCCTAATTTCTAATTTATTTTTAGAAGTACTCAAATACGAACATAATGTCATAACCTTTTTATTGCATGGTGTGTTTATTGCCACATACAAATATTTTATTTATCAACCTGGCTCAGGTACGTACGTATGTATGCTCATTATATGAGCCACATGCTGTGCTTAATTGCCACATGCTGTGCTTAATTGACACAAGCAAATATTTTCATTCATTGACATGGCTTAGCTTTTGTCAGAGTCTTAGAGAATTCAGACTTTGCTAAGAGCTTTGACCTTCGCACGGAGTTTGCCTTTCGCTGGGGGTTTCGTCTTTCCCAAAAACAGTTTCGTCTAACAACTATAGGCCCGTATCCCTATATCTTAATTTGACAATATAAATCTTAAACCTGAATATTTCCGAATTATATTTATATTCCAAACTTTTAGGAACATTTCTGAAATAACATCTACATTAGAAATTTAATCTATCTTCTAAAATTTCTACTCGGAACATAATCAGGATATTTCCATCCGTCTGGAACAAAACCTAAATGCATCTGTTAACAATTAATGAATATCAGTTATCGTTTTATTTTTAACCACACCCAAATTTTTGTGAGAAGAACCTCAAATGCTAGGAATTAAGTAAACCTTTACTTCAAAATTAATCCAACAACTCCTTTTTACCAATTAAGGGTCTGGAAGCTGACTCAAATTTTAATATAAATTTAAGTGCGACAATCATTTGACTCAATTAAAAAATTTACGTGTGACAAATTGTGGTACTGATATATACAGGATCACAAACCATATGTTTTTTTATACAAATTTACACATTTATACATGCACACATATGACATGAATTCCATTATGTACTACATTTTTTTATCATCCAACTTTATTCCAGAATTTGCACACTCGTTATTCTAGTTATCTGTTAACCATACTTCGTAATTTACATTACTACGTTCCTAGTAATGTTGTGGATGCAATTGGATTAAGACCACAGTTGTATAATATGCCTAGCATTTCAAAAGTTTTTTTTTTATTATTTTTTGTAAGCATTTGTCTTTAGTTTTAAGTCTTTTAATTAGTTAAGATATGGTAATTTTCACAATACTTTTTTTTACTCAATACTGTAAACTAAAATATTTTCGTAATAATGAATGATTATATTTACTGCACAAATCCAAACTAATATAGTTTGGGATTGTCTACGCCCAAATCTCAAACTCAGGCCCAAACCAATGTCTCAAAAACTTTATCACTAATCTTCAATTAAATATTCTTATAGCTATATATAATATATTTGCTTAATATCAAAATTATTTTATTAATTCAATTGTTTTATAAAAGCAATAATGTTTTTTAAGGGTTAAGGATTTGTCAAGGTTTTGCCAGTAAGTATAAATTGATAATAGTTGTAACCATCTTAATAATAAATATGCTTAATTGTTAAATATTATTTAGTCTTTTAAACAACAAAACTACTAATAAAATTACGTAAATAATGCAGTCAAATCTTCATAAATGCATTATGGCGAGATCATTAAGACAAACGTACATTTAAAGCGGTATTGCATTTAGGAACATGAAATTAAGAAGTTTGCATTTAGGGAGTAGAGACTGGACTCGAGTCAACTCGTAGCTTAAAAAACATAGTCTTAACTTTGTTAAGATCATGTTTTTTAAGCTATGAGTTGACTCGAATCCAGTTTATATTAGATAATTAGTGTTGCCAACAAAATTATGTAATATTAATATCACAAGGAAATCGTAATCATACATAATCTTGTTGGCAACGCTATACGTGACAATCATGTTCTAATACCAAAATACTATGTAGAGAATACTTTTTATAAATGTTTTAGAGACAATACAATGACAAATTATTGAATTCATTCATTTAACTATAGATAATAAAGGTCGAGTTAATGAATTTATTAAAAACTTCAGAGCGCACAAGTGAACATTTAACAATCAAGTTTAATTAAAAAAAATTGCAATCGTAGTAAGATCGTTCTATTTGCGTTGAATAAATAAGTAACAATCATGCAATTAAAGGAACATTAAATAATTAAGAGGTAACTGACAATAAAACAAAGTAAATGCATATTTATGATAATTATGAAGTTTATCTATAATTATTTAATTAGTTTATCCTAATTATGTGATCTGATGCAACATTTAATCTAGTTTATAATAAAATTATTTATTACTACTTTTCAAATATTTAGTAAACAGAGTGGCATTTGCATCTAATCTACCCAAATTTCCTAAATCCCAGTTTTCCTCCACGGTAGCCAAAAATGAGTAATGATTGTAATTACCATCATCAGTGTGGTCTGGAGGAGGATGAACAGGTTGACCGAGAAGAGCGGCGTAAATATGATTTGTTGTCGTATTAGGATCATCTTCATCGAAATAAATAAGGAATAATGTATTTGTTGTAAAGGATGGTTCTTTAAGCTTTGGTTCAAACCAATCTTGGAACCATTCCATCGCAGCTGTTAAATTTGCAGGAATACTAAGTGCAGATATCCCATGTCCATCATGAATTTGATTTGGTACAACATAGGCATATTGTGGTACGTTTTTATCATTTATGTCAGTATCAAGTTGTCCGAGTTCAACTATTTTCGCACAACGAGTCGGATTTGTAATTACGTCTTGCATATTTATAAATGGATTATGCTTCCTTGCGTATGATTGATTGGTTTGTGAAGGAGCAAAGGTACCGTTGAAACAATTGCCAGCTATAAAATGATAGAATGAAAGTGAATAAAATCCGAAAATAAATGATAAATAAGGGTAATAATCGTTTAACTGTTCAACCATGTTACTCATTTTGAATCAAGAAACCAATTCTGGTCAATAACAAATATAATTCGGACCGAAATTACGAAATAATTTTTTAACCGATTAAACAGTTCAATCATAGTAATAAACATGATAAACATACGGTAGGTTTCCATATAACCTTTCCAACTGATTTGTTTAGCTTCAAGAAGGTCAACTAAATTAACATCAGGAAGGTTGTGAGCACCATCGTCTGTGATACCAGCGGTTGAACCAAAAATTGTTGCAATATAATTTGGCTAAAAGAAGAGAAATTTATTTTTTAAATTTAATAATAATAATAATAATAATGATAATAATAATAATAATACGTACAAGAGACGGGTGTCCAACTCCATGGTAATTTGAAAGAAGAAGCCCATCAGTACGGTTAATTAAATCTTGTAAATAAGGCTGTTGTATCGCCTCATCATAATTAGCGTTTTCAAATATGATCGCAACAATTCGGTCAAAATGTGCACCCTTGACGGGTTTGTCGGTTGGAGCACCAAAGGTTGCTCCAATTAAAACAGCGAACAAAAGAATGGCAGATGCGAAATACTTCATTCTTATTTGCAAGTAAAATTATGTAGAAATTGAACAGTTTTGGTAAGTGGAATTCATTGCGTTTTTATACTGTATAAACATATTGATTAAATTACTAGATTATATATTGCTTAATATGACATTAAATTATGCACGGAAAAAACTAAAATTATTTGGCAATTCAAGATACTACATCATAGCATAAAAAATCTCCGGGAATAAAGGACCGATGTAAATTCGAAAACATCTATGGAACTTTACAATGATGATATGAAAAGATTGTAGCACTGTATTAGTGCGTATATGATTGTCATAGGTCTTGCAATTCAAAAAAAATAGGTTTTTATTTTTGCAATTTGATGCGATGCTCAAATTATTATGCGACATAATTTATGATATTTATATTCTGTGGCATTATAATTTGAAATTTAGTAAAAACTTTAATAAAACTTAAATAAAAATTTGAAATGCAACAATATTAATGTCAATAAAAAATTTGAAATTCAAATTATTTAAATTATTTATTATTAAAATTTGAAATTCAATTTACTTAATGTGTATCAGTATTAAATTTGAAATTCTGATACCGTATTAGAATTCAACATTGCAAACGTGAACAGTTCACCTTCTGCATACAATTAATAATTGGATAGCGTAACAGTGGATTTCGGTACTTGGGTATACACAGACAGGATTTTGGGATTGCAAGATCAGGTGTAACTTGAAAATCACGTATTTTTTTTAAAAAAAGAATACTATTAATAACTTAAAATTTCGTTCATGAAACTACCTTCTGCGCATTAGCAAAAAAAATTCACCGTCAAATTTTGATATAATATTAGGCTTGCTGAGATCATATAATCCCGATTATAAAATAATGGTTTATAGCTTTAAAAAATTGCACATTTTATGCGGGGTAATATTTGGGATTAGATGATGGAGTCGTGTAACGTGATCGCGTATAAATGGAATTATCTTTAATGAATGTTTAACTTAAAATTCGATACATGTAACCGGTAATTTAATAGATAAACATCTTGTGACGTATAATAATAACGATTCTTTAGAATCCGTTAACAACAAGTTGAGTTATTTGATAATTGTCTTGTAATGCACAAATATACTGTAAAATACCAGTGATTCCGTTTAATTAAGATAATTCTTACATAATTTTTAAACATTCGTAAACTTTCCGTGAATGTTGTTTTAACCTGGTTGTTACTATCTCCGGCTAAATTTTAAATTCCGTTTATTAATATACTGATATATAAACAAACATTCGCTTGACCTCATAGGAAGACTTTCGTATGATTGGCTGTTTAAATAAATATAATTTTACATTATTTATACAGTTTAAAGTACGAAGAATAAACCAACAAGAAGCATATAAAAAAGTTTTATTAGGGTTATAGGGCTCCACTATTAAAAATAATCAAAATCCTTTTTGGTTTTAGAGAAGTTAGCATAATAGCGACTTCTTAAAGATAGATATAATTAGGTTATCACCATTCTAACTTCTTTAAAACAAAAAGTGATTTTGATTATTTTTAATAGTGGAGTCCATGTAAAATTAAATTGATTTAAACAGACAATCATACGAAAGTCTTCCTATGACGTTTGAATTATTTTCAAGATATAATGTTGTACTAACAAATCACATTGGATTTTTCAAATCCGTATAGAACAAAAGTTGCATCAATCATTGGCAGCATGGTGGATGTTCCTTTTAATTGGCTGTCGATCCATCAGGTTGAATAAAGTTGGTTGATATTGTCGCGGGGAAATAGCGCGGATCCAAGGATGGAGCGAATGCGACGAATTGTCGCTCCAGAATCGTTGACGTCGCGTAACGTTACTCGAAAGCGAAATGAGGCGATACGATTTGGCAATGGCTAAGGCGGCTCTCGAGTAAGTTACTGGGTACGTATAGAGACTTTTCAAATGAACG